CTGCTTCCTCCCTACAAATCTGCAATTAGTTTTTGTTCTGATTAGGGTTAGCTTGCTAATGAAAGGCTCCCGAGGAGACAGCTGGGACTTCCAAGGCGAGGCAGGCAAGCGAGCTCTTCAGCATTAATTGCCAAGGCAGGAGCCGCATAGAGTCAGCCACCAAAGCAAGGGGAGGTGAGGCAAGGCAAGGAATGGCAATGGTAATGGCATGGCATAGCAAGACTAGGCAAAGCAATAACAAAGTCAATGGTAGTGTCAAAGACAATGGCAATGGGAAGGCATGGCATGGCATGGCATGGCATGGCATGGCATGGCATAGCAAGGCTAGGCAAAGCAATGGCAATGGAAATGGCATGGCATGGCAAGGGTAGGAGGGAGTCCCACTTGGAAAGATAAGGAAAGGGGTAAGGAAAAAGCAAAGGCAATGGCAAGACATTGCATGGCATGGCATAGCAAGGCTAGGCAAAGCAATAGGAAAGATAAGGCAAAGGCCATAGCAATGGCAATGGTAATGGCAATGGCATGGCATGGCACAGCAATAGTAAAGGCAATGGCAATAGCAAGGCTAGGTAAAGGCACAAGCAAAGCAATAGCAAAGGTAAGGCAAAGGCAAGGCTAGGCAAGGCATAGCAAGGCTAGGCAAAGCAATAGCAAAGGTAGAGAAAAGGCAATGGCAATGCCAAAAGGAATGGCAAGGTGAAGCAATGGTAAGGTAAAGTATGGCATAGCTAAGCAAAGCAAAGACAATGAAATAGCAAAGGTAAAGCAAAGGCAAAAGCCATGGCCAGAGCAAGGCAAGGCAAAGCAATACAAGGTATGGCATGGCATTGCTAGGCAAAGCAACAGTAAAGGTATGGCAAAAGCAAAGGCAAGTCATGGAATATCAAGGCTAGGCAAAGGCAAAGCAAAGGAATGGCCAAGGAAAGGGACCAAGAGAGAGGTCTCTCTTAGGGGTCTCAGGGCCAGGGGAAGACTGCAACCCAATACCCTCCCCCTTTTTCTGTCCCATGAACCACCATTCTGGGAGTGGAGCTGGTCCAAGGCCATCAAGTGAAAGGGAAGCTACCAGGAACACTGTCTGCTCCGCTGATAAGCCAAATAAGAGAAACAACATCAGCTTAATGCAATTACATTCCTGGTCCTTTCAGGGCTTTCGTCGTAGGAGGGAGACAAGCATCTCCCCAAACACATTATCTCCAAACACTGCCTTTTCATTGCAAGGCAGGAGCCTTCGGAGTTGCGTCAGCAGAACAGAAACACGCTTAATTAAGTATCTCATTTTTGGCTGTCAGTTTTATAAGAATCTCGGAGATCAAAAAAGAGCATCTTTAATTTGCAAAAATAAATGGGATCCCTCTTTATTTCTTTTATCGGTCTCTAGGAGGCTGTTCTCAAGAGCCCCTGAAAAGAAGGGCGAGATGGGGCTTTGATGCGAGCGTGTTTCACAGGCGCATGCACACTTTTGCACTCATTTCTCCCCCTTTTGGAACAGTTTACTTTCAAAATCTAGAGCAGAGAAGCAACTAGTTAGAAATAACTAGCTCTTAGCAATCAATTCCTTTTTGTCAACATGAATTTTGCAATTGCAGTTTAATTCTCTTTTGATGTACAATGATATGCTTTCCTTTCTTTTGCAGTTGCAGAGTGTGAGCTTACAAGGTGGAGGAGGACGATCATGCTATTCCTGTGCTGGCTTTTGCTCCTTCCCATCAGACAGTCAAAGAACAAGATGGGCAAATGAAGAGCCCGTTTTGTCATATAGGGCTGTGAGTGTGTTTAAACATTTTATTTACTTCTGAAAAATTGGAAAGTAATGTGTTTGTGATGAACTAGACCACCTCCTGCTGTCTTTCTTTAGTCATTTAACAGCCATTTATTACTTCCAAGGGAGCCAATGTCATACAATGGTTGGTGATCAGGGGTTGAATCCTTCCTGGGAATCCACTGGAAGACCTTCAAGGAGTCACACTCTCTCAGCCTCAGAGGAAAGCAAAGCCAAATCTTGCCAAGAAAACCCCATCATAGGGTTGCCTCAGGTCACCATAAATTGAAAGTAACCTATAGGTCCCCAAGGACACAGCCTCTGCCCAACTCTTTGGGTCCTTCTTGGTGGCACTACTCTTTCGCATCAATCTGCAGGTTGCCCAGCAGGAGTGGGTTCTTCCTGCGGCTGCAGTCCATCACCAGAGCATCTCCTGGCCTTTCTTCCATCTTTTTTCAAGGGGAAGCCGTCCTGAAGACTCCACCCATTTCCCAGTTCTGTCTTTTCCCCCCAGGTTGCATGGAAATTTAATTCATGTGCAGAGAACTTGGAAAAACTGTGGATAGACTAGCAGGCTTATCATCCACCGCTGCAGTTGTGTGGCTCCAGGAACCTCTGGGCCAGGTGGGTGAGCTGCTCACTGCCTTGCTAACTTGGCACCTTTGCCATGCTCAGCACCCAAGAGGCATCCTTTGGGACTTATTTTTAAAATCCATCTTCTATTGACTTGTTGGGAAGCACCAAGAATGCCTGTCAGGACTTGCACAGGCAAAAGGAATGGCTCATTATGGCACAGATGCAACAGAGGGATGCAATTGATCTTCTACCTTCTAAAAACAACCATATTGGCATTAAAACTCCAAGTCTAACCAATGAGGAGAATTTATATGCTGACACACAGAGACACATATATTTTCAGGACGAGCTCTCCCTCTGAGATTCTTCCTCTAGATTGAGGAGGAAGGTCTAGACCAAGTGAGAGATGCCTCAAGGATGCCCAGGATAGGGTCAGGCTTCTCTGGGGCTTTCGGGCTCAAATCCAAGAGGAGAGGGCTTCTGCTAGAGGGTTGTCTGACCCTTTGGCACAATTGAGGTGCCTTCTTCTCTCCCTTCCTGCCCCACATCTGACCAAGAGTCAGTGGCTCCCTCTTTGCAAGCGAGTGGTGAAGGCCACTGATCTCCGGGACACATCCGCTCTGCTTTTGTCAGGGACAATATTGATGTGGCCAGCGGTGCCAGACCCTGCTTTCGCTCTGACGGTGCCTGTGCTGTCTCCCAGACACTCTTTCTCCTTGAGGGTTTAATAGAGCCATCGGAGGGGCACAAACATTGATTGATTCCTATTGACTTGCTGGGAAGCGCCAAGAGCGCTTGTCGGGACCAGCGCAGGCAAAAAGGAACGGTTCATTACAGCACGGATGCAACCAATGGCAGGGTCACAAGGGCTCCATCCACACTGGGATGATACTGTGGGTCCTGATGGGTGGAAAGTGGACTTTGCTGAATATTGCAATTCAGGACATGTGTGCATGTGTTTGGATGTGCCCCAAGGAAGGCGAATGGGATGGAAGCAGAAGACAGAAAAGCAGATGACCTCAGGGCAATTTACTTTTATGGCTGGTTGATATGTCCTTGCCATATCCTGTCCTCCCTTTAGGCCAATGGCCATGTGCTCTATGTCAGGAGGGCTGATAGTTGTATGGCACGAGTGACTGATCACAACAGTTTGGCCATCAGGCTGTGCAGAATGGCCTTTGGCCCCTGCACCATTTCTCAGGCAAATTTCAGTAGTGCAATTTTTAACTTCCTTTTAAAGTTTCATGCAGCTGAGATGCCTCGTCACTGCTGGGATCTTGGCAAACCTGAAAACTGAGGGGATGAGAGACCTTGAAGGCTCCCACAGCCTCAAACCTCTTGCAATAGAAGCAGAAGCCATAGCTCCAGAGAGATGAGTCCTTGTGGACAACAAGTTAAACATGAGGCAACAATGTGATGCTGCAGCTAAAAAAGCCAATGAGATTTTGGCCTTTATAAATGGGAGTCTAGTGTCTAGATCCAGGGAAGTCATGCTACCTCTCTATTGTACCTTAGTTAGACCACACCTGGAATACTGTGTCCAGTTCTGGGCACCACAATTGAAGAGAGATATTGACAAGCTGGAATGTGTCCAAAGGAAAGCAACTCAAATGATCAAGGGACTGGAGAACAAGCCCTCCGAGGAGCAGCTGAAAGAACTGGGCATGCTTAGCCTGAAGAAGAGAAGGCTGAGAGGAGACATGATAGCCATGTATAAAGATGTGAGAGGAAGGAAGAGGGAGGAGGGAGCAAGCTTACTTTCTGCTGCCCTAGAGACTAGGACGCAATAGAGCAATGGCTTCAAACTACAGGAAAGGAGATTCTACCTGAACATTAGGAAGAACTTCCTGACTGTGAGAGCTGTTCAGCAGTGGAACTCTCTGCCCTGGAGTGTGGTGGAGGCTCCTTCTTTGGAAGCTTTTAAACAGAGGCTGGATGGCAATCTCTTGGGAGTGCTTTGAACGCGATTGTCCTGCTTCTTGGCAGGGGGTTGGACTGGATGGCCCTCAAGGTCTCTTCCAACTCTATGATTCTATGAAGGAAGAAAAAGAGGATGCACCTTTGCTGAGATTTCCCTTCCTGGACAAAGTGGAGATGTTCTCTCTTTTCATAGGAAGCAAATAGCATGGTGTACTTTTGCATGTGGTACAGCTGCTTTGAGTGTCTTTGTAGAAAGAAAAATCTGGTTATAAATAAACAACAAAACAATTGTTATAACAATAATGATAATAACATGTCCAAAGCAGTCTCTTTCAGCCAAGCAAGCCCCATGCCAGAAAGGTTCCCAAGGTGTAGAAATGCTTTCTGTGGCTCAGTGGCCCACTGAACTTGCCTCCCTGCTGCCTGGGGGTGAGACCAGCTGGAGGTGCTGTTGGCAACCCCAGATGCCTCCTTCCATGTGAGACCTGCCCTAAAGCTAATCCAGAAAGACCCCTTCTCTGGGTCATCTGGTGCCCCTTGCTATCCTTTGGGAGCCACAGCTTTCCAGGTGGCACAAGGATGGGACCCAATGGCGGGAAGGGAGATGAAGGCCCTCCTGTACATCTCCTGCCCTCTCTTCTGAACAATGAGTCAGGATGCCGGATGCTCTGAAAGACAGTTCTCTTTCACCTCTCCATGGATTTCCTCTCAATACTTTTAATTCTATCTGTGCCTTAATCACGTTTCAACAATGCCTTCCCCGTATGTTTCTGCCTTGGCCTCCGTCTTTGTCACGTCACCTGCCATCCCCAGGCGAGGCGCCTCATCCTTCACGGCCATCGCACCATCTGGGCGCATTGATTCTATAGATGTTGCATCTTATAAGCAACATCTTTCATGCTGATAAGGAGGACGGTGTGCCTGGTGCGGCTCATTGGGAAAGTGCACCAGCTCAGCACAAGGCATGTAAGACATGGGGGTCATTGCTTATGCTCCTGCCTTGGACCTGGGATAAGGAGAAAGGCGGGATGTAAAGTAAATAAATAGCTGTGTCTTCCAGCCTTGGCTTTGGCAGGCCTCATCCAGGTGCAACATAACATTTATGGGAAGCAAAGGACTCCCGCACCAGAAATGAGTAATTGCTGCATAGGCTAATTGTTGCACATAACAAGTACATAAAAGAGATAAAAGTGCGTGTTTATCTTCTCACAGCATAAACTTCCTGAAAAACCAGAGCCGAAGGTGTGCCTACGAGGAGCGTTCGTGCTGCCAATCTGCCTTCCAGAAAAACCTTGTGGTTTACAGGATGGGAGCCCAAAATGGGCAGTTCTGGTGAGAGGCGGGTTGGTCAGTAGAGATAGCAAAGAGGTACAGATAATTCAAGAAATTGTGAATAGGAGCCATACTTGTCCCTCCATCAACCCCCCTTTATCATCCACACACCTTTGTGGGCCCAGGCTGTCCTCCTCCTCCGATGCTTAATTTGCTTTGGCATCTTCCAGCCAATAAGAGAGACACGGAACACAGTAGGGGAAAAGAAGCACTGAAATTATCCATTTGGGATCCCAGGATCTGCACTGGTCAGTGTTCCCACCTTCCATCTCCATGGAAGAGAAGACACAGCCTCATTGAGTGTTAGAGTTGGAAGAGACCCCAAGGGCCATCCACTCCAACCCCGTTCTGCCAGACCGCAAGAGGACAATCAAAGCACCTTAGAATCATAGAATCATAGAATCAAAGAGTTGGAAGAGACCTCATGGGCCATCCAGTCCAACCCCCTGCCAAGAAGCAGGAATATTGCATTCAAATCACCCCTGACAGATGGCCATCCAGCCTCTGTTTAAAAGCTTCCAAAGAAGGAGCCTCCACCACACTCCGGGGCAGAGTTCCACTGCTGAACGGCTCTCACAGTCAGGAAGTTCTTCCTAATGTTCAGATGGAATCTCCTCTCTTGTAGTTCGAAGCCATTGTTCCGCGTCCTAGTCTCCAAGGAAGCAGAAAACAAGCTTGCTCCCTCCTCCCTGTGGCTTCCTCTCACATATTTATACATGGCTATCATATCTCCTCTCAGCCTTCTCTTCTTCAGGCTAAACATGCCCAGCTCCTTAAGCCGCTCCTCATAGGGCTTGTTCTCCATACCCTTGATCATTTGAGTCGCCCTCCTCTGGACACATTCCAGCTTGTCAATATCTCTCTTGAATTGTGGTGCCCAGAATTGGACACAATATTCCAGATGTGGTCTAACCAAAGCAGAATAGAGGGGTAGCATTACTTCCTTAGATCTAGACACTATTCTCCTATTGATGCAGGCCAAAATCCCATTGGCTTTTTTTGCCGCCACATCACATTGTTGCCTTATGACCTTGACAGATGGACATCCAGCGACTGTTTAAAAGGAGCTCCTCCAGACTCCAAAGAAGAGAATTCCATTGTTGAACAGCTCTTTTTATGTTCAGGAAGTCCCTCCTCATGTTCAAGTGGAATCTCCTTTCCTGCAATTTGAACCTATTGCTCCACTGAGTCCTAGTCTCCAGAACAGCAGAAAGCAAGCCTCCTCCTCCCTTATGACATTTGCTCAGACATGCAAACATGACTCTCATGGCTCCTCTCAACCTTCTGTTCAGCAGCAAAACAGACCCAGCTCTTTAAGCCGCTCCTCAGAGGGATTAGTGGTTTCTAGACTTTTGATCATTTGGGTCACCCTTCTAGCTTTTAAATATGCCTTTTTGTTGGGTTTCTTCCCTGACTGCACCAGTCTCTAGCCCTCAATGAGTAGTTAGACTAGATTAGCATGAGGGATTCCTTCCCCAAGCCCCCTTTGCATGTCTGTCTCAAGAAGGGGCTTAGAAGGGATGTTGTCTTTTTCTGCATGCCACTATCTCCTTCCTCTTTGAATACTTAGCAATGTGATCTCTTCAGGGAAAATGTAACTTCCTCTTTAAAAGTATTTCTATTTCCCTTGGCTGGCCATACGGCCTGTCTCCATTTTCTGGGTCTCTTCTTCCTTTATTCTGCTAGAGTGAGGAGGCATCTTGCCATTGTTCAGGCAAGATGTAGTACATATAGCTATTTTGCTAATTTTTTTCTTTTCTTTTTCCCCTTTTCTTAGAAGATAGTTCAGTGAAGCTATTTAGCTCCAAGAACTTTTCCTATCCAGAATGGATTTCTTTTGTCTCCAATAAATGTATTATTTTTGATCCTATGAAGTTGTGGATCTGCAATCCTGTTCCATCTTGCTGAATGGAAACCAGTCCTTGCTCTTTACACATAAGCTTCTGCTGGTTATAAACTGTGCTTCTGGCACTCTGCTATATTTTTGTGGAATCAGTCCAAGTGAGGGTTATTTTTGAGCCTAACAGCTCCTGATTCCCAACACTTTTGAATTTCTTTGCCTGGAACGGTACACAGAATAATCCAGGTGAGGCCTGACCAAAGCAGAATAGAAAGGCACCATGACTTCCCTCGATCAGAACACTAGACTCCTTTTGATGCAATCTAGAATCACATTGCCTTTTTTGAGCTGCTGCATCACATTGGTGGCTCATGTTCCACTAAGACTCCAAGATCTCTTTTGCATTGACTGCCATTCTCATAGGCCACAGCTAGCCCTGCTCAACAAGTGGCCACTTCAGAAACATGTGAATTCTTCTACAGGGGAGGACGTTTTGTCCAAGACATCTGCAATCAGTCTCAGGTTGTGTTACGTTCAGGGGATTCGATTTAGAAAGGTTGTTATAGCATAGAAAGACCTGCCAGAGCCTTTTCCACAACAGAAGTGGGACACGCTCTCAATGCTCAAAGGCAAGCAGAAAATAGGCTTCGAGACCCACTGTTTAGGCAGAACAGCCTGATCCTTTCAGGCTACACTTCCAATTTGGCGTATCCAATGCGCTGAGCCTGTTCCAGGGTTGGAGTTCAGCATCCTTCAAGGCTGGTCTGCATGAAGAGTTGGCTTTCCCAGAGCTCCTGATTCCCTTCTTGCAATTGGAACCAAAGCATTGATTGGGGGGCACTGCCCTACAAGGCATTTGGGGAGGCAATGTGCCCTTTTGTGGGGAGAACACTTCCCCCTCCCTCAAACACTGTTCCATGGTGAGTTCTGTCACTGCAAATCAAGCTGGCCATTGGAGCCGCTCCCTGCATGACAGAATCTGGATAAAAGAAGCATCCCTTTATAACAGCAGGAAGGAGAAATAATTGCACGGCGGCACGGCGGCCTCCAACTGAAGGAAGGCTCTCTCCCGTGCATGTAATTGAGGAGGAGTCTCTCCCTTTGGGGAACAGGGAGCACTGAGATGCTAGAGCAGCTGGAGGGGGAAAGAAGGCCCACTGGTTCTCTCCCCAAAAGTGGGGCTTTGTTGCCCAGAAAGGGAAGCAGGGCATCAGAGCCCCAACCATTGGACATCCATCCACAGCAAAGGTACACCATGGCATCTTTCTCTCTCTCCCTCTTTCTCTTTATGGAGTGACTCCAAAAGCTATGCCATCCTTTGGAAACCTAGGGCCCCTTTTCCTGCGATTGGAGCCCTCCAGGAACTGCTAAAAAGGAGCAAAACAAAACCATATTTTCATCCAAATACATTAGGCAGCAGAGTTGGGATGGAGTACAACAACTCAGTCATAGGACTTCTGATGGCAAGAGCTGTCTGACAGTGGAACAGGCTTCTTTCTAGGAGTCCAGTAGAGCCTTCTCTGGAGGTTTTTAAGTAGAGGCTGGATGACCATCTGTTGGGAGGGATTGGATTGTGTCTTCTTACAAGGCAGAGTGGGGTTGGACTAGATGGCCTTGGGAGTTACTTCCAACTCTAGAATTCTATAATTCAGTTTTCCAGGAACCTTCAAATGTCTATGAAGTTGGATGGGCATCTATTGGGAGGGTTTGGATGATACCTTCCTGGCAGCAGGGGATTGGATTGGATGGCCCTTGGGGTGGTCCTTTCCAATTCTATATTTATTTTAAAAATATTTATAAAAAACTATTCAGACAGTACTTGAAATTGCTTGGAGTATGGTATCATCTCCTCCTCTGGAAGGTTTTTAAACCAGATGGGCCTCTGTTGGGAAGGCTTGGATGGTACCTTCCTGTCTGAACAAAGGGGGTTGGACTGGATGGCCCTTGAGGTGTTCCCTTCCAAATCTAGGAGTTGGAGCAGGGTAGTGTCTCCTCCCCTGAAGGTTTTTAAACTGGATGGCCATTTGTTAGGAGGGTTTGGATGGTGTTTCCCTGCCGGCAGAAGGGGGTTGGACTTGGGGACCTCTGGGGGACCCTTCTGGCTCTATGAGTCTATGATGGGGACCTCTTCGTCATCCTCCCTGACCCCCTGCATCTCCGACCCTTGGCGCTTTGGGATTCATTTTAGGCAAAAGACCCTCCGAAGAAGTACGGGGTTGGATTGGATGGCCCTTGGTTGTCCCTTCCTACTCTTCTAATTCTCTGATTCTAGGGTGGATGCAGAGAAAGATGCAGCTGTTGGTGAGCTTTGGAGGCTTTTAAACAGAACCTGGATGGCCATCTGTTGGGGGTGCTTTGATTGTGTCTTCCTGCCTGGCTTGGACCGGATGGCCTTTAGAAGTCTCTCCCAACTCTAGGTTCTATGTTTTGAGTCGGGCTTCCCCCAAAAATAAAGGGGCGAGGGGATGTCGGTGACACTGTGAAGCGGCTGGTCCTGTTGCTGTAATGGCTCCCAAGGACAGGGGAAGTGACACTGACTAATTGAATTCTGAGCCAGGCATTGCAATGCAAATATCTGACAAATGGATTTAATTGCATTCACGTACAATAAAGCTGAGATCTAAAAGGTCAGCGGGAAAAGGGAAGGGGTCCCCAGAGTGCTAACAGG